ACAAAGAATATATTATAGTTAAAGCAGGAGTCAGTTGAAACTTATTTTGATCACAAAAAACAGAAAAAAACAAACTACTCATTAACTATTACTCCCTCATAGTTTGCATTTTAAGATAATAATTTATATCTTCTTATTTTGCTTATCCCTTTACAAAATTATTGTAGTTATTATTTTTTTATTTGTTTTGTCTTTTAATCTTTTTGTTAAGAATATAAGTAGTTTACATCTCATGATCACCACATTAGCATATTCTAAACTTGTCTGTATTTTTATCTGTGAATTTCACACCTTTGGATGCTTTTGTCTTGCACATAAGCATCGTTTTCTTTTGAGTTTGAAAACGTTTCTGTTATAATTTCTTTCAAGAAATTGTTACCCCTTTTTCACTAACATACCTGCAGCAGATGACACTGAATGTCATGTAAGCTGGTAAGTATATTCAGTTGGAAAATACTTTTTATGAATGTTTGACTCTTGTCACACCCTGCTAGCACATTTTGGTTAATGGTTGGATCTGTAATTTTAGCATTTTGATGGATTTAATAAAAATTACTAGTGAGCAGCTTGTCCAACTTTTACCCTGCTGTATGTGTGTAAGCAATGCTCTTTCCATTTTTCTATATCTCTAATCTGAAATAAGAAACCTGTAAGAAATGCTTTTTTCCTTTTCTCTAGCAAATAACTTTGGCAGCAGAGAGTTAAAAACAGAGAATTTTAAAAGCATAAAAGTGTGAAGTCTCTAGAAACCATAAAGATAATTGGTTTCACAGCTCTTAGCTATGTACAGGTTCTCCTCTCCCCCCCCCCCCCCCCCCCCCAGATCACACAGCTACTCACAATGAAGATTGGAGTAAGGACTGAAATAGATTTTATCATGGTTCTGACTGGAGGAGAGGAACATCAGCTACTGCAATGTTCCTAAACCCGTTTCTTCTATCTCCTTTATGATACAGAAGGCTAAACTTCATTGAAAAGAGCAAAGAGATTCATACCCTAAAGCCACCAGTGGGACTTATTACAGCTGGTGAAAGGAAAGAGAAAAAAAGTGTTTTATCTCTGGAGAGAGATACTCTGGACAGAGAATAAATACTTGCTAGGTCTGCATTAACTCTGGAGGAGAGGAATGTTTATGAAGACTACATCCCCAAACCATGGTTCACAGTGTCTGCTTAACACTGATTCTCATTCAGAACATCAGAAAACACCTCTGTTTTCTGTCTCATGCCAAGCCTATGTGTTAAGTTAGTTCAGTAAAAAAATGTAACAGTGGAAATAGCAGAGGATCATGAAAAAGATAGATTTTATCGGAAAAGACACAAGACAAGGCCAAGTAGAGAAACACAAAACCAAGCAGGAAATAAGCATCCTACTGCACATGATCACTTACCAGAGATACAATATCACTAGAGGGATGTGTACCCTCTGGTATGATGAGGGTAACAATAGTAATCACAAACTTCAAAAATACCTGCCTACTGACTAGATTAACACAAAATTTCAGATTAAAGACCTAGCAGAAGAAAAGATGCACTTCTATCTAACCGTAACAAATTAACTCAGTATCAGCTTCCATACACAACAGTACTTGACTTTCAATAAAAAAATGGAAGGCTATAAAGAAGCAACACAACAAAAAAACACAATCTGAAAGACCGAACAACCATAAGGATCAGACTGATATATTACACAGATTTTGAAATGATGAGAAAATAAATTTAAATTATTTTCTTAAAGTCTCTAATGGAAAAGATTATACAGCATACAGGATCAGATATGTAAGTTCAACATCAAATACGAATTTTTAACTTTAAAAAGTTTAAACAATTCAGGGTTAGGTATACAAATACAAATACTTATAATGCAGGTACCCTTGTTGATAAAGTGTACCCCCCTCCCACAGCAGATTTCCACTACTGCCAAACCTCTTATAGCATTATAATTGATCAACTTCTGCTGAAGAGTGAGAACATGTGATGCACAGTTCTTTGTTTCTGTGATAGATCACTCAGTATTATAGAGTCTAAGTCCATCCAAGTGCATATACATGATGGAATATTACACAGCCATAAGAAGAACAAAATTATGACCTTAACATCAAATACTTCTATTGCAATGAACCAAGGCATGAGTTTGCTGTCCTTGTCTACATTTATCTAAAAATAACATTTTCTTATGAAATACCCTTGCATTCTGTTATTTAAAAAGGAGGTGTTAGTTATTTTGCAACTGGAAAACATCTAGAAAAGAGAATAGTGTTCTCTCTGCTTGCCTCTTAAAATATCTCTTACTACAACTTTCTTACAAACTTCTTCTTTTTTTTTTTTTGAAAGCAGGATTTATCAAGAGGACAGAAACAGAAAAGCTCCCATAGTGGGAGGGGATCTGAAGGGGCTACCCTTCTTACAAACTTCTAGACAACACTAATGAGAGTCTGAAAGTGAAGAGTGTAAGTTTGCCAAACTTATTTTGGATTTCTTTGAAATAAAAGTGGAAAATGAAGAACGAAGCTTAAAAATCTCTCATAAGGAGGATGCTGTAATAACAGATATAAAGTCTACATTCCCTGCAAAAAAAAAAACTAGAAAACAGAAGCTTTGAAGAATACAAGCAAATTGATATAATAGATATCTGCAGAACTCTACTCAAATGAATAATATAAAATAAAACATACAAGCTACAATCAAAAGTATTACAAGAACACAATGAAATTCAATTAAAAATCAATACCAAAAAGATATCTAAAAATGCAAAAATATTCACTTCTAAATGCTCCATGGACCAATTAAGGAATAATAACAGAACTCAGAAACCATATTATATTAATGGATTATAAGTATGTGTTATCTAAAATGCATAAAATAGATTGATGTCAGTGAAATACAGAGTGAGAAGCTTCAGATATCTGTATTACATTAAACCAACAAGAAAAATTGTGAAAACTGTTAGAATTAACTTTTTCATGACTTCATAAATTAGCTAAAAACCTTGAAGAATTCTGTGAAAGATTTATTCAAGAAAAATTGCAGATCTTGGTAAAAATAGCAATTTGTGCAGAATTTGAATTTGCCCCAGAGTTGAAAACTATTAGCCTATATTTGTAATGAATACTAGTAGACTGGAAACCACTGAAATAACAGAATGGAGCTGGAATATCTTATAAACTTCATTCCCAAATAATTGTCATGTGCTTCCTAGAAGACCCACTTCGAGCTTGTCTGTATTTAACTGAAATCAGTCCTCACCTAGTATGAAAAGCCTTTTTCCCAAAAGCTTTTTTTGAGTTATGGTCAAGTGTTTTAACTTTACATGTAGGAAATAACTATGAATAACAGTGGGGCAGGCAATAAACTAACCACAAAGATTAAAAGAAAAGCTAAAGAACAGATGTTTATATGAGGCTTTGAAAAACAAAGACAAATTTCTGGAAATCTAGAAGGTCACATAGGTGTAGAGATGAACACATGACTAAGGCTGTGTGCATGCTTAAGAAAGACCTGAAAACGCTTTAAATTCTCAACTCCAACTGATCTTAAGGCTCTATGCAATCAGGAAGTGAAATGAAAGGCAGAGTTGGCTTTTATACATGACTGAGTAATGAAAAAAATGATCCATCATGCAGAGAGACCCATGCTTCAAGAAGAACAAAGACTTCAATAGCTACACACAATGAAGACTTTAGAGATCCAGTTCAAAAAAATTCACAGAACAATTATAACAAAATAACAATAAGGAAAACCCTCGAAAGATGGGTAAAACCAGATTTCCAGAATTGCCACATGATGTTATTTGAAATGCCTAATTGCAATTTTCAACAAAACGGAGACATGCAAAGATCCAAAAGAATATGGCCTATGCTTAATAAAGAAACCATTAAGAGACCTGTCTTTGATGAAAATTAGATGCTAAACTAAAAAAAAAAAAGAAAAGAAAAAGAAGAAAAATACTTTAAATTCGTTCTTTAAAATAATTTCAAAGAGCTTAAGGAAACCATCTTTAAACAACTAATGGGAAATAATATAATTATGTCTCACTGGATAAAGAATACCGATAAAGGGATAAAATGAAAAAAGTAGAAATTTTGGATTTGAAAAACACAATGAATTAAATAATCATTAGAAAAACAAACAAACAAAAAACAGATTTGAGCAGAGAGAAGAAAGAATCAGTGAACTTGATGATAGATCAATTGAGCTTATATACTCTAGGAAGCAAAAGAAAAAAATGGAGAAAAGTGAACAGAACCTACAAAATCTGTGAGACAATATCACTCATATCAACATATACATAATAAGAGTACCAGAAAAAGAGAAAGGAGATGCAAGGACAGAAAGAATACTTTTAAATGTAATGACCCAAATCTTTTCAAATTTGGTTTCAAAACACACTAGTTCTAAACTCCAAAGTGTTATGAACTCCAAGTAGGAAAAATACAAAGAGATTACTCACAAACATATAAGCAAACTGTCATAAGGCAAAGACAAAGAAAGAATCTTGAAAGGAACAACAGAGAAACAACTCCGAGTTATGTACAATATTCAATAAGAATAACAGAAGATATTTTGTCAGAAACAACAGAGGCCAGATAGTAGTGGACTGAAATATTCAAAGTGTTGAATGAAGCTGCCAAGCAATAATTCTATATCCAGTCTACCCATAAATTAATGTATAAATTGTATGTAAAACTATATATCAAAACATTAAAAATAATTTTAACAGTGTACTGACAATAACAGTGACTCTGTCCTTTCTGCATTTCTAAACTTTTTCCATGATATGTATTTTGTTTGAAAAAATACAGAACATAAATGTTGCACAACGCATCATAAAATGACACAGTTGAAATATATTATTATATACAATTTCAGCTATTTTAGATGAACCTTAGATGCTTTATTTAAAGTAATATAACAATATGCAGAATTGAATAGTCTTAGTCAACAGTTAACTAGATTATTTTCATGATTGAAAAAAATCTACAGAGATAATATTCTAGCAAATCATAACATCAGACTCATGATAGTTACCTGTGAACTTAAATGAACTTTATAGGGCTGGCCATTCTGCCAAATATTGCTGTAATTTTCTGTTAACTTTGATACATTTGCATTATTACTTTTCACTTGGTAAATTATGTGCTCAAACCTTGCTGAAGTTTCAAGTGGTTGGATTCTATAGCTGATATTTTCAAACTGAAGAAATCCCCTGAAAATTCAAAAAGCAAAAAAGTTATAAGAAATTCTACAAATGCTCCCATCAAAGTTATAAACTGAAGTGTTGTGAGAAACAAGAAGTCATACTGAAGAACATGGATGTTTTTTGTTTGTTTGTTTTGTAATTTTTTCTGAGTTAGAGTCTCACTCTTGTTACGCGGGCTGAGAGGAGTGCAGTACCACATTCATGGTCACCACAACCTCAACTTGCTGGGCTCCAGTGATCCTTCTGCCTTAGTCTTCTAAATAGCTGAACCATAGGCACGTACCACCACACCTGACTTTTTTTTTTTTTTTTTTGAGTTGGAGTCTCACTCTATGGCCCAGGCTGGAGTGCAGTGGCACGCTTCCAGCCACTGCAGCCTCAACCTGCTGGGCTTCGGCGATCCTTCCACCTCAGCCTTCCAAGTAGCCGGTACTACAGGCACATGCTACCACGCCCAGCTAAGTTTTGATTTATTGTAGAGACAAGGTCACGTCAAGTTGCCCGGGGCGGGTCTCGAAATTGCGGGCTCCCTCAATTCACTAACCTCGGCCTCCCAAAGTGCTGGGATTTTAGACTGGGCCACCAAGCCCGGCCCAATTTTTTTATATATTGTAGAGACAAGGTCTCGCCAAGTCACCCAGGCTGGTCTCAAACCCCTGGACTCAGGCAGTCCTCTCACCTTGGCCTCTCAAAGTGCTAGGATTACAGGGTCACTGCACCTGGCCCTGAAGAACATGTTTTAAGCCTCCTTTCTTTTCCTTTTTTTACTTTTTGCCATCCCTCATTAGCAAAAGACTCTATATCTATCTTAGTTTGTAAACATTTTAAGGAAATAAGTGCAGTGATGAGTATTTTGTAATTTTTGAACAGCAATCATATTCATTCAATATATATTACTTAAGGTCAAATTTGCCAGGAACCAAGATGTTAATCGAGAATTTTAGGAATAAAATTCTTCTTCTTATTGATGTTAGAATAAAGAAAAGCATGTGTGGAGCGGTTATACCTAAAGAGGTTAATATCTATAAAAAACATATTTAGAGAATGTTAGTTTTTCTGAGTTGACATGAATAAATTCTGGAAATCAGATAGCTAAAACCAAAAGGAAGTTAAAGTAAGTATTTTTTTCTCTGCTCTGGACACTTCTTTGTAAAACAAACATATTATAAGTCTCCCAGGATCAATGACAAAAATCACTTATCCCTGTCCTTTATCCCTGAGAGATCTTATTAATTAGTGGTTTTATGTAGGTTACAAAGCTAAGAGTATATAACATATGCCTATTATATTTAAATAAGTGATTAATTTCATTTTTCAGACTATTTCAGATAGTGGATAGAAAATGCAATATCTATACTGAAGGGGATATTCTAAAGTTTCTTTTCATGAAACTATTCCTTTCTGCACAGTATCCTGGAAATGTCTCCACTCAGGATTCCCTGAATTTATTTCATGTCAATGGGCACTTAGGTCCAGGTATTAATATCAATAGAGATCAAGGAGCAAGATGGTAATGGGACAGGTCGGACTGTGAGAGTCTCCGGAAAAGTGAATGTCCATAAAGACCCTCTGCGTGAGTGAAAGTCTGTCTGATGGAAGACTCAGGTTCATGCACTCAAGGCTACCTTCTGGAGGTGATTGCAACCCACCACTGCCCTGAGATTGGAGACCCAGGCACAAAGGATTGCATGCCATTTTCTGGGCTCTCTTGAGAGGAGGCATGAGAGAATAGCCACCCCTCACCACCTGGCACCCAGTTCACACCATCACCTGCAGCAGCTGACCAGGCATTAGCAGGAGGAACCATGGGAAAGGCAGGTCATGGAAATCTGGAATAAAGTTCTAATGCTGGTGAGGAGACACCAACGGATGCCATCTTCTCAGTCATAAGACCAGGCAGAGACCTTCATTGCCCCACCCAACTCTGTTCAACCTTCATCTTGGGACCCAGAGGCTATCCTTTCCTTGGATTCTGAGAGATAGATGCCCTTCCCCCAAGCCGGAATAGGCACAGACACGTCACATCTGAGTGGAAGACTTGACAGCAGCATCAGTGAGTAGGGTGAGTCCAGATCCAATCCATCCTCCTCCCACAGTAGTTGTGGAGACTCTAACCCATGGGGAGAGCAACCCTATCAGCATGTGCTAAGAGCAGAAGGGAGGGACTGGAGACCAGAGTCCCAACCTACAGAAATGGCCATGAAGAGAGCGTTTTTGCTTTCTTCTTGTTTGTTTTTTGTTTTAGTTTTTTTCTTCTCTCTTCTCTCTGTTATTGTTTACATTTTTGTACTATGTTTCTGTTATTCTAAATTTTTTTAGATTTTCTGTTTCTTTATGGGTAATTTTGAAGGAGAGTACACCAATGGGGGTGGGGGAGGGTTGTTTGTTTGCATGATTGCATGTTTTTGTCTTTTCTGTCTTTGCTTGTTTCTCTGTTTATTCTCCAATTGGTATGCCTCTCTGTTTTCCCTCTTCTTCTCTCTCTCCACCTTCCTTTAATCTTGCTCCACCCTTTTCCCATTCTTTTCTATTTTCTTACCTCATTTAGCTTTCAGGAGGCAAACAGACATCCCCACTGCATGTACAGATTGCAAGGCAGTGAAAAGTGGGTTCCAGGGGGCACACACACCTGTCAGCAGATACTGGGATCTGCAGATAGCTACTGAATCAAAACTCTTCCCTTAATTAAATCTCAAAACTGCACAAAGCACAGGTTCCAATAACCAGTCCAGCTTCAGAATTGAACAAAACCAGAGGATCGACATAAGGAAGAATAGGAGATTAAGCAAGCAGAAGTAAAAGCTATCTCCCCATCACTAAACAGCAATATTAAAGAAGAGATAAGAAAAGGGGAGGGAAGAGCCTACACAAATGAAGAAAAACCAAATGAAGAATATGAGTTTCACACAGATCCTTGGTAGGTCAACCACTGAGAATATAGACTTTGGAACTCAAACAATGAAGTGCCCCCAGAATATCTGGTCTCATATCACAAACCCAGATATTAAGGTATTAAGAGAGAGTCAATAGAAATGAGGAGAGATAAAAGTAAAGAATGAAGGAGTTAATAACTGAGATAATAGCAATAAAGAATACAGTGAGTGAAATAAATAACAAACTGATAAGTATGAAAAGCAGAATTAACTAAGCAGAAGAAAGAATATCAGAGCTTGAGGACCAAAGCATGGAACTAATCCAAACTGTTAAAAACATAGAAAAGAGGCTTTAAAAGACAGAACAAAGCCTCTAAGAGATGAGTGATTATTTCAAGAGGTTGAACCTAAGATTAACTGGAATCCCTGAGGCAGAGAGAGAGAGAGCGAGAGAGAGAGAGAGAGAGAGAGAGAGAGACACCACCCTGGAACAAACATTCCATAAAAGAACCTAGGAAAATTCCCTCATCTCATCAGTGTCATGACCATTCAAACACAAGAGGTTCAGAGAACACCAGCAAGACAACCAATGAGAAGAGCAACTCTTAGACACATAGTAATTTTGCCTGCACAAAGTAGGTACAAAAGAAAAAAAAAAACATAAAGGCAACAAGAGAGAATGGTCAGACTACCTACTGGGAAAGACCAAATAGAACAGTATCAGACTTATCAACAGAAACACTTCAGGCTGGGAGAGCTTGGAGCCCAATCTTCAAAGTTCTCAAAGGTAAACTTTTCAACCAAGAATTTTCTACCCAGCCAAGCTAAGTTTCATCAGCAATGGAGAATTAAAATCCTTCCCAGACATTCAATCCCTAAGAGTTTACACTGCCTCCAGACCAGCTCTAAAAGAAATACTTAAGGAAGTATTAAACACAGAAAAAAGGGGGAAAAGCACACAATGCCTTTCCTAAGAATGCAGGAAAAAGATTGAAAACAAACATCAATAAACCCAAAACTCAAAGGAAAGACAACAAACAAATAAACAGCAGCAAAAGAAAACTCTATAAGAACCTCATGACATTGATAAACTCTCACATCTCAATAATTAGCCTGAATGAGAAAGGACTAAATGCACCACTGAAAAGACAAAGAATGGCAAATTGAATAGAATATTATGAGGCAACAATATATTGTCTCCAGAGACTCATCTCACCAGAAAGAACACTCATAGACTCAAAGTAAGAGGATGTGAAACAAAATTTCAGGTGAACGGAACACAAAAGAAAGTAGGAGTCACAATCTTAATATGAGACAAAATACCATTTAAGCTATTAAAATTTGAAAAGATATGGAAGGTCACTACATAATGATAAAAGGTTCAATCCATCAACGAGAAATATCCATCCTAAACATGTATACACCCAACATAGGAGCACCAACTTTCCTAAAGCAGCTTCTAGGTAAACTAAAAAAAAGATATTGACTCTAACACTATCATAAGTGAGGATTAAAACACCTCACTAATAACCCTAAACAGATCATCAAGAAAAAAATTCAATAAGGAGATTGGGAACCTCAACGTGAGTGATGCTTGACCAAAGGACTTAGAGAACGCTCCACCCAGCAACCACGGAATATACATTCTACTCATCACCACGTGAAACTTACTCTAAGATTGTCCACATCCTAGGCCATAAATCAAACATAAACAAATTCCATAAGATTAAAATTCTGCCATGCACTTTCTCAGACCATAGTGGAATAAAAATAAATTTCAACACCAACAAAGTTCCCCCCAAATCTTCAAAGACATGGACACTAACCTGCATGATGCTGAACAACTCCTGGGTCAACACAGAAATCAAAACAGGATTAAATGGTACCCAGAAACAAATGAAAATGAAGAAACATCTTACCAAAATCTTTGCCAAACCTTGAAAGCAAGTCTAAGAGGGGAATTTATATCCTTATGAACACACATGAAGAAAATGTAAAGATCACAAGTTAACAGCCTAAAAAGTCACCTAAGGAAGCTAGAAAAGCAAGACCACAAAAACCCTAACTTCAGCAGTAGAATCTAGACACCAAAATAAAAGCCCAAATTCTGGATATAGAAGACAAAAATAAAGTACAAAAGAATAAATGAAAGCAAAAGCTGATTTTTTGAAAGGATAAGCAAGATTGATGGATCCAAGCTAGACTGACTAAGAAACAGAGAGAAAAAGTTCAAAGAAACACAATCACAAATGTAAAAGATGAACTCACAACAGACCTCAAAGAAATACAAAAGTTTATCAGAGATTACTACTTGCACCTGTATGGAAACAAGCTTGAAAACCTGAATGAAATTAAGGACTTTCTGACATCACATAACCTCCTCAGGTTGAAACAAGAAGACATTGAGACACTAAATAGACCAATAACAACCCAGGAAATCAACAATGTCATAAGAAAACTACCTACAAGAAAAGGCCTGGACCAGATGGCTTTCCAGCAGAATTTTACAAAACATATAAGGAGGAACTGATACCAATTCTACTGAAAGTATTCCAGGCAATCGAGAAAGATGGAACTCTCTCCAAATCATTTTATGAAGCTAATATCACATGGATACCCAAACCTGGTAAAGATCCAACAAAGAATCTGAACTACAGTTCAATATCCTTAATGAACATAGATGCTAAAATTCTCAACAAGTTTCTAACAAACTGAATCCAGCAACACATCTCAAAAATCATCCACCATGTCCAAGTAGGCTTCATCCCTGGGATGAAGGGCTGGTTCAACACCTGCAAGACCATAAACATAATTAAATACATCAACAGATGTAAAGACAAAAACCACATGATTATATCATTAGACATGGAAAAAGCTTTTGATAAAATCTAACATCCCTTCTTGATAAAAACCCTTGAACATCTAGGCATAGATGGAACATACCTCAAAATAGTAAGAGCCATCTAAAAAAACCCCACAGCCAACATACTGCTAAACAGACAGAAATTCAAACCCATTTCCCCTGAAAACTGACAAGATTCTGCAAAGTCAAAGAAACCACTGAGAGAGTGGGGAGACAGCCTACAGGCTGTGAAAAAATATTTGCCAACTGTATATCCGACAAAGGCCTAACATCTAGGATCTACAAGGAACTGAAATATGCTGAAAAGAAAAAAACAAACTGCCCCATTACAAAGTGGGCAAAAGATGAATAGACACTTCTCAAAAGAAGGCATATGAGCAGCCAACAGATACATGAAAAAATGTTCAGCCTCATTAGTCATCAAAGAAATGCACATTAACTGGGCTCAGTGGCTCAGTCTGTAATCCCGTACTTTGGGAGGCTAAGGTGAGTGGGTTGCCTGAGCCCATGGGTTCGAGACCCACCTGGACAACTTGGCGAGACCTCATCTCTACAATAAATCAAAAAATTAGCCAGCTGTAATAGCGTGCACCTGTAGTTCTGGCTACTTGGAAGGCTGAAGCGGAAGGATCGCTGGAACCCAGCAGGTCGAGGCTGCAGTGGCTGGGAGCGGCCACTGCACTCCAGTCTGGGCAACAGAGTGAAACTCTAACTCAAAAAAAAAAAAAAGGAATGCACATTAAAAACACACTGAGATAGCACCTAACTCCAGTCATATTGGCCAACATCATAACTCAAAAAACAACAGATACTGAGAATGTGGCAAAAAGGGAACACTTCACTGCTGGTGGGAGTGTAAACCAGTACAACCTCTGTGGAAAGCAATGTGGTAATTCCTAAAAAAATCTAAAAAAATCGACCTTCTATATGACCCCATAATCCCCCTACTGGGAATATACCTGAAGGAACTCAAACCACTCTATAAAAAGGATACCTGCACACATGATTATGGCTGCATTATTCATAAAAGAAAAGCATGGAACCAACCGTGCTGCCCATCGAAAGACGACTGGATAAAAAAAATGTGGTCATATACATGATGAAATATTACAAAAGCCATAAAGAAGGACAAAATTATGAATTTCTCAACAACTTGGATGGACTTAGAGACTATAGTATTTAGTGATCTATCACAGAAACAAAGAACCAAATATCACATGTCCACACTCATAAGCAGACCTGAACTATCATAATACTATAATAAAGGGATTGGCAAGTAGTGAGAAACTGCTGGTGGGGGGGAGGGGACACCTCATCAACTAGGGTACCTGTATAATGAACATTTGGATACCTAACCCTGAATTGTATTCCATGAATTTAAAATTAAAAAATTAAAAAAATTTTTAATAGATATAGAATAAGTCCTTTCATACTTAAATTTCCCTTAAAACCTTTCAGGATTTTTGTCTGCTAGCCACTAAGTTTCATTCTAAAGTATGTCCTTAGTTCTCCATGCATAGATATCCTATTAGATGCTCTTACCTGAGTCCAGAACATAGACTGAGTGTCACAGATGAATCTGGAAATTCTGCAACATGTCCTTGGTAATGACAGTGCATCTGAAAAGTGGTATATAAAGAACAATATATAAATTATTTATGAATAAAAATACTGTCAAACATTTCAGAAGGCTCAAGACATTAAGACATTTGATGAAAATAAGATTATGAATTATATGAAGCTATTAAATTTTCAGGAACAAGTTTTTGACAATTTTCTTTACTTTGTAGCACTGAGGTGACCATGAGTGTTCTCTTGTATTGGGTTTCATACCTATCACATGTCATTTCTATGTCAATCATACAACAGTAGCATAAAACATTCCAATTAAACTGTAGATATGAAACAAGCGCATCTTAACTATTGGGAAATACTCTAAAACATATAATAATGAACATCTAAGACAGCTGATATTACCTTAAAACATGAAGACTCAGGATGAAAAGACTCAGTTTCATTATATGTATAAACCAAAAAGTTCTGAGATAAGAATGAGCTAAAAGAAAAATGAGTCATAATTTTAATATGAATATAGACATTAAAATAATAAAACAAATTTTAAGTGTGTATCATTCATATAATAACATTATTTAATTAGAGCAATTTTAGTGAGGCACAACAGTTGAAATTCATTGAATTGATGCATCAGGGATTTCAGGTTTCAAACTCTGGGACTTCTGTCTGTATCAGATATTAGTGTGTGTGGCTGTGCATGATGTCATTCCACAAATATTTACTGAATGTCTACTATTCAACAGACTCTCTTATAGGTGCTAGTATTCAGCAAACAATAGACAATCACCCCTATTCCTCATGACAGGTACACATTCTACTTGCATATTAGGTGACAATATCTAAGACCTGAGAGGTGATGGTTACAAAATATAGATAGGATGGTATAGAAAGGCTTGTGGGATAGATGCTTAAAGACCTTAAGAATAAGCCACATGGGGCCAGGCTCGGTGGCTCAGCCTGTAATCCCAGCGCTTTGGGAGGCCGAGGTGAGTGGATTGCCTGAGCCAGCAAGTTTGAAACCCACCTGGGCAACTTGGTGAGACCTCATCTCTACAATAAATAAAAAATCAGCCGGGCGTGGTAGCACACACCTGTAGTTCCAGCTACTTGGAAGGCTGAGGCGGAAGGATCACTGGAGCCCAGCAGGGCAAGGCTGCAGTGGCCCGGAGCGGCCACTGCACTCCAGTCTGGGTGACAGAGTGAGACTCCAATTCAACAACAACAAAAAAAAGAATAAGCCACATGAACTTTCACAGACATTTTATTCCAGACAGAATTAGTACAAAGTGCAAAGACACTGAGGCAGAAATATGCTAGGGGGCAATGTGACTGGAGTGGAATTTGTTGTGATAGAGACAGTAATAAGATCTGGTGTCACAACAATGAGGAATCATTGGAGGATTTGAGCAGATAAAGAAAGTACTAGACCAGTTTTAATAGAATCAGACTGAATGCTGTGTTGAAAATAATCTGCAAGTAATAAGCAGAATCAGGGAGACCAGTTAGAAGGCTATTACAGTCATAAATGCAAGACAAAATGGTAGTTTGAACAAGGACAATAGCAGTGGCAGAGGTCCAATTCTGGTTATATTTTGAAAGGAGAATACATGGGATTTAATAATATATTAATATGGGAGAAAATAAAGATGTCAAGTATGATTACAACTTTTTAATGTGTGCTCTTTCTCTTTTTCTTTTGGAAAGCTAATTGAGTTGCCATTCACTGAGATGATTGTGAGAAAGATAAACTTGTGAAGAAGACCACAAGTCAGAAGTTAATTTTGGATGTTACCTATGAGACTTATAGTAAATGTTTATCAAATTCGTAATCAGATAAATTGAATATGGTATTTATTGGCAAGGAATACATTAGAGAGATAAATTTGGGTATAATCAACACATAGATGGCACTTAAGGCCACAAGAATAAAATGACCACGTGACTGAATATAGCTAAAAAAAAAAAAAAAAATTCCAAACAGTATTATGTAATATTCTAAGACTGGAGAAATGAGGAGAAATCTGCAGAGAGAGATCACAATAGTAGGAGTCAAAGAATCAATCAAATCATGACCATGAGTATGTAGTATCTGGTGGAACACAAATGAAGAAAATATTTTATGATCAGCTATGTCAAATGTTGCCAATTGTTTAAGCAAAATGAAGACTAAACGACAAGGATGGCATTCAAAAACATGAAGTCAATTAATTGCCTTATCAAAAAAATACTTTTAGTGGAGATGTAGAGACATGAAAAGCAAGCATGAAGTTAGTAAATCTGAATTAAATGGGCAGAAATTAATTAAATGACAAAATTTTTCTCCTGTCTTGTTCAACTATAAAGATGTAAGAAGACAAGGGGCAATTATAAACATATATATTTTAAAATGTAGGCACAGAAGAAGCTATTTGATTTTGTTTTTATAAAATGTTGAGAAAATGCAAATCAGGATACAGAGATTAGATTGATTGTTGCCTGGAATTCTGGATGAAAATAAGAGTTTAACTCTGAAATGATATATGAGCTCCTATGTGAGGAAAGTATAAATTGATTTGTGCCTGATGGCTGCAATACTGCATAAAGTTATTATAACTATTAAATTGCATACTTCAGGGAATTTTATATGTAAGGTATACTAAGTAAAGTTGTTACAAACAACACATATATAATTAAAACATCATAAAAATTGTGTCACCATGAATTTCCCACCAATAATTACTTAAAATATAATTATGTTTGACTTCACATCAGACATACTTAAGAGACAATTTGCAATTATTGGATGCAATGGCTAAAACTCTACTGGAGATTGATAAACATGTAGTTTGTTGTTTAATTTGAAAATATTAAGTTGGAAAATTAAAATGCAAAAACTTCATATAGCCACTATTTATGATCTAATGAATTCTAAATTTAAAATGAATTGATAAAACTTTTCAATTTAGAATACATTATAACACATTTATGAATTTGAATACTGTACAAAAACTTTAACCCTGTAAAATCTAAGTGTAAAGCTTTCTCTTCTCCTTAAAGGAAAAAATCATGTCTTACTATTTTCTGAGATGCAGAGTGTATGGTTTTCCACCAATTGTAATGTCATAAATCACCTAAAATAAAGCATATCAAGAAATACAATTTAGTAGATCAGAAATATATAAAATAAAACACTATTTTTCACCCTAGTTAATAAAACAGATTCACTCAGTCCATTAAACATGAACATATTTTTTAGAATTTATTACTCTAAATTATAATATTATAGTATCTTAACAAAATCAAGAACACTGTGGTAAATTTAATATGTGGGGATAACTTTTAGAAATAAAATGAAGATTACATTCAAAAGAATATAATTTTAATCTTACTACTACCATACTAACTTTCTGTTTAGAAAAAAAATGCATTTCTTTAGTTAAGATGATTGAGACATAGCTGTAGGCTTAAATTTCATACCATATATAATGAACCAGTAACAAATTTATATATAGAGAGAAAGAGACATATATACTTAGAGTCACTGAACATATCTCAACATATAAACAGACCTAAGAGACAAGACGCCTGTGAGGAATTCCACACCTCCAGGGACAAGAGAACTAATACACTAATGTGGTACATCCAGAAACAGAAAATGACTCTATGAAATTCTACAGAGGTAATAATTGGACTATGTCCACAAATGCAGACAGACATCTATCTTAGCAAATTCACAATTTCTTCTCAAGACAAATCAATTTCAAAAGTGAGCTCCAATTTTAAGCTAGAACAGAGTCTGTGAACAGAGCCTGAGAAACTGAACAGCGCTGCTTATCACTGGAAATGCTGAGAAGTACAAGAAGTACACAGACTCAGAGGGCTATCTGCTAATAGCCCGGAGCAGAAGCAAACTTTATCCCATTATTCCCCTAAGACTAATATAAGCTGATCTAATACTTTATCAGCATTGATCCAATGCATTGAACACAAAATAGAGGCAGGAAAATATCTGACGGAATCTCAACTACAATGGGGAGAACATATACACAAAAAAACTATTTAACTTCAGAGGTATGTCTACATCAAGAAAGAAAGGTAACAAATTCAACAAATGAAAGGAGTAATTTATTAAATTTCTCCTGAGTAAATCAAAAAGTATGTGAGTAAAACAATACTTTTATAGAAGTATGTTTAATATCCTTAAAAAAATTAATTGGTATTACACTCAAGAATTAGCAATTGGGTGTAATAGAAAAATATTTCTATAATTTTCCAACTCTTGAGTGCTTATAAAATGCCTAGCACTAGCCGGGCTCAGTGGCTCAGCCTGTAATCCCGCGCCTTTGGGAGGCTGAGGTGAGTGGATTGCCTGAGCCCGCGGGTTCAAGACCCGCCTGGGCAGCGAGACCTCATCTCTACAATAAATCAAAAAATCAGCCGGGCATGGTAGTGCATGCCTGTAATTCCGGCTACTTGGAAGGCTGAGGCGGAAGGACTGCCAGAGTCCAGCAGGCGAGGCTGTGGTGGCCGGGAGCGGCCACTGCACTCCAGTCTGGGTGACAGAGTGAGACTCCAACTCAAAAAAAAAAAAAAATGCCTAGCACTGTCCTAAGCACTTTATATACTTTTGTAACGTTTCTATCCCCACAAAAACTGCAATTTTCATTTTGAGAAAAAGATTAAGTAACTTTTCTAAGATGACACATTGAGTGAGTGTTAGAACCTGGCAGAGAAACAATATGTTTTGCCACTATATTAGACTGCTAGCATGTGAAGAAGAGGTAATTTTTATTGAAGAATGAACAAATATTATGAGAACAAACCAATTATAGATCATATAATTGCAGTTGTAAATTTTTAAGTAAACTATTATCCTGAATAAAATTTTCAATATATCTGAAGGAAGAATTAGTGAGGTTGAACATCGAAGTTAAGAAAGTTTCTGTGAATTAAAAATGAAGTGATTTTAAAAGTAGAAGATCTGCAAGAATAAATAAGAAAGAGAGGAGTTATTTCCAGGACTTCCAGTATCCGCTAGGAAGAAATTAAGTAGGCAGAGTCAGACAAGATGACGATGGAACTGGTCAGAGTGTGAGAGTCTCTGCAAAAGTGAGTGCCCATAAAGACTGTCTGCATGAATGGGTGTGTGCCAGTGGGTGAGTGAAAGTCTGTCAGAAGTGAAACTCAGGTTCAAGCACCCAGATCTCTCCTCTGGAGGTGACTGCAAACCACCACTGCCCTGATATCAGAGTCTCTGGCATGCAGGAACATCTGCTGTTCTTGAGGGTATTTTTGGAGGAGACAGTAGAAATCAGCTGCTCCTCAGCACCTGGCAACTGGCCCACCTACCACCTGAGGCAACAGGCTGGACACTAGCAGCAGAAACCATGGAGAAGGCCCAGTGAGGAAACCTAAAACTGAGTCCCACTGCTAGTGAGGAGACTCCTGCCATCATTTTCTCTGTCCTGGGAACAGAGATCTGCATTGCCCCACTCAGCTCTGTCCAGTCTCCAACCTGAGACCTAGAGGCTATCTCCTCATTCCTCTGAAATCGACCATCAAGCATGGAGAGACAGACGCCCCTCTTCCACACAGGACTGGACACAGACACATCTGATCTGAGTGGGAGGCTTGCCAGAAGCAGCAACGGAAGACATATCTAATTCACCCTCCTCCCACAACAGTCCACAGGACATCTGACCCACTCTGAGAGCAATCTGATCTGTCTGCACTGAGAGCAGAGGGGACTGGCCGGAGACCAGAGCTGCTCCCTAATGAGGTGGCAGCTAAAAGGAGCAGCACGCTTGGGAAAAGAACCTGAAGTTCCAGAAACTGCCACAGAGGGAGCGCTTTTTCTTTTTCTTTCTTTCTTTCTTTTTCTTTCTTTCTTTCTTTCTTTCTTTTTCTTTCTTTCTCTATCTTTCTTTCTTTTTCCTTCCTTCCTTTCCTTTGTTTTTGTTTACATTTTTGTACTTGCTTTGTTTGTGTTAGTTTATTGTGATGTTTTTACATTTTCTGTTTGTATATAGGTATTTTTGAGGGTGAGTATATCAACAGAGGTTTTATTTTTTTGTAATATTGTTTGTATTTCTTTTGTTTTTTCTGCTTTGTTTGTTTCTTTGTTTATTCATTAGTTGATGTGCCTATCTGTTTTCCCTCTTCTTCTCTTTATTCACCTTCCTTTTGTCTCCCTACTTCCTTTTTCTATTTTTTTTCTTATCTTATTTTGCTTTCAGAGGGTAAACCTACATCCCTACCACATACACAGATTGTAAGGCAGTGGGAAGTGGGTTCCAGGGGGCCCACACACTTGCCAGTGAATACTGTGATCTGCAGAAAACTTCTGAACCACAGCTCCCCACTTAATTAAATCTCAAAACTTCAAAAAGTAAAGTCTCCTAACCCAAGTCCAGCTTCAAATTTGAACAAATCCAGAGGATCTACATAAGGAAGAATAGGAGATTGAGCAAAGAGAAGTGAAAGCTATCCCCCATCATTAAACAGAATTGAAGAAGAAAGGAAAAACGGGGGAGGAAAACCATCACAAATAAAGAAACAACAGGAGAACACAGGTTCCAAACAGACTCCAGGGAAGGCAAGAACTGAGAATACAGACTTTATAACTCAAGCAATGAAGAACTCCCAGAACAACTGGTCTCAAATCACAAACCCAAATATCAAAATATTAATAGAGAGAATAAATAGAAATGAAGAGAGACAAGAGGAAAAAATGAAGGAGTTGATAACTGAGATGACAGCAATAAAAAATACATATATAACAAACTGAAAGAAATATATAACAAACTGATAAGTATGGAAAGCAGAATTAATTAAGCAGAAGAAAGAATCTCAGAGCTTAAGGACCAAAATATGGAACTAACCCAAACTGTTAAAAACATAGAAAAGAAGCTTAAAAAGACAAAACAAAGCCTCTAAGAGATGTGTGATTATATCAAGAGGCTAAATCTAAGATTAACTGTAATTCCTGAGGCAGAGAGAGAGAGAGAGAGAGAGAGAGAGAGAGAGAGACAGAGACCACCCTGGAACAAACATTCCATGAAATTATCAAAGAAAACTTCCCTTGTCTCATCAGAGACATGACCATTCAAAAAAAGAGATTTGGAGAACCCCAGCAAGAAATCAGTTGAGAAGACCAACCCCTATACACATAGTAATTCACTTACACAAAGTAGATATAAAAGAAAAAACTCTAAAAGCAGCAAGAAAGAAAGGTCAGACTACCTATCAGGGAACACTAATTAGAATAACAGCAGACTTATCTACAGAAACACTACAGGTTAGAAGACAGTGGAATACAACTTTCAAATTTCTCCAAGATAAACAATTTCAACCAAGAATTTCCTACCCAGCTAAGCTAAGCTTCATCAGCAATGGAGAATTAAAATCCTTCCCAGACACTCAATCCCTAAGAGTTTACATTGTCTCCAACCCAGCTATACAAGAAACACTAAAGAAAGTATTGAACACAGAAGAAGAAAAAAAGAACAACCATGTTCTTCTTAAGAATGCAGGAAAAAGACTGAAATCATGCATCAATCAATGCAAAAATGAAAAGAAAGTCAACAAACAAATAAACAAACAGCAGTAACAACAACAAACTATAAGACCTTATGACAGGGATAAACTCTCACATCTCAATAATTAGCCTGAATGTGAATGGACTAAATGCACCACTGAAAAGACATAGAATGGCAAACTGGATAAAAAAACATGATGCAACAATATGCTGTCTCCAGAAGGCTTATCTCACCAGATTCAAAGCAAGAGGATGGAAAACAATTTTCAGGTGAACATAACACAAAAGAAAGCAGGAGTCATGATCTTAATATCAGACAAAATATTATTTAAGCTTTAAAAATTAAAAAGATATGGACGGTACATAATGATAAAAGGTTCAATCCATCAACAAGAAATATCCATTCTAAAGATATATGTGCCCAACAAAGGAGCACCAACTTTCATAAAGCAGCTTCTAGGTGAACTAAAAAAAGATATTGACTCTAACACTATTACGGCTAGGGACTTAAATATCCCACTCACAACCCTAGACAGATCACCGAGGCAAAAAATCAGCAAATAGATCTGGAATCTCAACTTAACACTTGACCAA